AGAGAATTAACTTGATTATGTAGAGAACTAACTTGATTATGTAGAGAAACTTTAAGAACAAACAAATTAAAGTGAAAATATATGTTCAAAACAAGACAAATTGTGAAGATTGAAAATATATGTTCAAAACAAGACAAATTGTGAAGCATACCAGGGGCTTGCAGTCAAAGTTTAAAAAAATCAAAAGCCACTGTCAGTGACTTGTTGTAGTGAAAGAGTTAAATAATGCAAAATAATTTTTTTAACAGAATCTTATTAAGGATAATTTTAATACAATAAATATAACACAAAAGTAATTTATAGCGAAAGACAAGCTTAAAATATCTGAAACATTTTATTCATATTTTTAATGTGAACTTCGTAAAAATACTTAAATAATAATAATTTTATATAACTAAAAAAATTTTATAGTAATTTATAATGAAAAAATTTATATATAATAATAAGTGACTAAACATTATTTAGTAATCTAACTAAAAAAAAATTACAATTTGATGGAAAAAATAATTTTTATCGAAATTCTACAATGACGTCATATACTAAAACACTTTGAAATTAAATGTGCTTGAATAAATTATAAAGTCTGTAGATTGTGATGTATATATTTTAAAGACATAAAGGAACTGGCTAAAATGGAGACAGCTAAAATAACAAAAATAGTTTATCTTGGTATATGTTCATTATTTTGTTTTAAAAAAATTTCAAACATTTTTTTTAATCATTTGCTTTAATATGAACACAGCTTGTCTTGGCACTTGGAATCCCTTTAATATGAACATAACTTGTGTGGCACTTTAGGATCCCTTTAAGAGAAATATTTGTTTGACTGAAAGTCTATAATTGTAGAGCTGAGATAATGTAACATGATTTCTAACCAGTTCAGGGTTGTGCAACAATTGATTATGCTAATAAGCATAACCTTTTCTGAAAAAGAGTGGATAAATAACTAGACTAAAGTTAGCATAAAATAAAAATATACAATTAATAAAATAAGATACAATTTCCTTATGTGAAAATAGATTATTGCCACCGCTATTGCACCCTTCAAATGTAGACATTTTTACAACTGAATTTGAGCAACCTTTTATAGCTGTTTGCCAGATTTCTTCATCTTCCACTTTGTTTGGCTCTTTAAAATCATTTTGTTTGCCTATAATAATAGTGCTGTATATTACAAACTTTAGAAAATGCTGGTATGGAGGAAATATTGTTATTGAAAGTTTGTGAACAATGTGTTGTGTTAATTAATGACTAATAAAAATACACCAAAGTGTGGATAGCAGAAATATGAGTTAGTTATATGAATTTCTAGATATTTCCAGATTTTCTGTGTGAAAAATTTTTTAGGAATTGTAATATGTAGGATATATAAATAAAAAAATATAAGAGTAATGTTAAAAAAGTTATAATAAAATTGTAACTGAGGATGTATAATACACTGAGAGATGTTTTTTTATAAAAAAATGTTGCTTTTCAAAAAAGTGTTGTCTTTTAAAAGAATTAACCTACTATACATTATAAATAGTGGTATTGAAACCAAATAACAAAAAGTAATTAATAATATTTTATGGTAAGTAAAATATATATTTGAATACTGTAAAAAAAAGAAAAATTTTAAAAGCTGATTAAAAGTTGATAAGAAATGATTTTAAAGTTTCTATATTATATGCATTCAAATACTATCAAATGCTTAATATAAGAGAGGGGGAAGGAATAGATCTAATAAAAAGGTGTGTAGGCTAGGGTGGGTGGAAAAATTTCTGAAAATTATTAAACATCCGTGTATTAATTTTCCGTGTAAAAGTTGTTTGTTTTGCCCATAAAGTTGTAAAAAAGCATGTTTATCACTAAACTTGTAAAGAGGTAAAATATAGTTTTAATTTTTAAATTTGTATTTTAATATTCAAGTTATAGAGTTTTAATCTTTTAATTGTATATCTATGTTTATCTTTAAGTTGTTTAACTTTACTTATAAGTTCTAAAAATAGTTCTAATAAAAAAATTTAAAAACAATAAAATAATAATAAAATAAGTAGAGCATGAAAATAAACATCATAACAGCATAGCAACATAACAGCATAGCAACATAACAGCATAGCAACATAACAGCATAGCAACATAACAGCATAGCAACATAACAGCATAGCAACATAACAGCATAGCAACATAACAGCATAGCAACATAATAGCATAGCAACATAATAGCATAGTAATACATAAATATAGTTAGGTACTACATTTTCTTATTTTTAATGCCCTAATGTATTTTTTAATAATAAATTATGATATTAAAAGTATCAACTATAAAGTTATAAACAGGAATAAAAACTTTGATGAAAAAGAACTATAAATTTAGTGTATATATAATTATGAACATCATTAGTTCTAGTGATTATGAACATCATTAGTTCTAGTGATTATGAACATCATTAGTTCTAGTGATTATGAACATCATTAGTTCTAGTGATTATGAACATCATTAGTTCTAGTGATTATGAACATCATTAGTTCTAGTGATTATGAACATCATTAGTTCTAGAAATTCACAACAAAAAATGCTTTTCAATTTCATGACTTAATAAAAACTATTTAAATTAAATATAGAATAGTAAAAAAAAGTATAGCAAGAAAAGTTGTATTATTTATATAAAATATATTAATTTATTAAAAGTATAAATTAAAAAAAAAATCAAAATTAAAAGTTTAAATAAAACAATAGACAAAAAAATTTATAAAAAATAGCACCAAAGAAATAACAACAACAACAAAAAATTGAAATATCTTTATTTATTAAAGAAAAAAATAAAACTATTTTTTCTTCAAAAGGCAAAAAAAAATATCGAAAAAAACAATTTATACAAGTAACATGAGTTACTGATGTAAATCGTATTATTTATTATTTTTGTATTACTTTTGAGTTTAGGTATTTTTAGATATTTCTAAGCAGTTAGCAAGAATCTTTTTACGATTTCAATAATACTGATGTAATTGGTTTTATTTCTCATTTATCAAAAATAAGTTGGGACTTTTTCTTTTGTTTTTACAACTGAAGAGTATTGGAATATCTTTTCTGATCATCTTTGTAAAGGTATTGAAAGGTATCGTTTTATTCCAATCAGAACAATATACCATAAGAAAATTATCCAAAGTATATTCATAAAATGCTAATTCACAAATCATTTTTATGGAAAAGATGGTCAATCACTAAGACCATTTTCCACAAAAAGACATTTATCCAATATGCATCGAAATGTAAAAAAGCCATATCCACACACCACAAAAATGTTGAACTAAAACTGGTCAAAAAAAAAAACTTAAGTTTTTTAGTTACAAAAAAATATATCCTCTAAAAACAAATTGCAACTTTACTACTAAAAATGTTGAAATCGCGGAAGTGTTTAACAAACACTTTGGAAGTGTTTTTACCGTAGATGACAAAAATTTGCCTAAAATAAACACTTTTGTTAGTGAACATGTTAAGATTGATTTCGTAGATTTTTCAGCAAAGATAGTTTATCAAAAACTAAAAAATCTAAAACCTAGCACATCATTTGGACCTGACGGTATACCAAATATACTTTTAAAACAGTTAACATATAATATGTATTCCGCTTTTATATATATTTGAATCAAGTTTTACGTCAAGCTCGTTGCCAAAACAGTGGCTTCAAGCTTCGGTTTCCCCTATTTTTTAAAAAGGATCTACTTGAGATGCTAACAATTATAAACCTATCTCCCTCACATTTACTAGCTGTCGTATCATGGAAAGTATTGTTAGTTCAAATATTGCTGATTATCTTAATATAAATAATCTAATAACATCTAATCTAATCAACACAGCTTTTTATCCAAAAGATCTTTGTGGAAAAATCTTCTACAGTCAACTAATGGCTGGAATAAAGCTTTAGACAGCAGTTCAATTACTGATGTGGTGTACAATGATTTTCAAAAAGCATTTGACTCTGCACCTCATCCAAAACTTTTGAAAAAACTTGCAATGATGGCATAACAGATAATTTATTAGATATTAACATTTCTTTCTAGCAGATATCAAAGAGTTCTGGTTTGAAATTCATTATCTTATCCGACCAGCATCTTTAGTAGAGTTCCACAGGGTAGCATTTTGGGTCCAACGTTATTCTTGTTATATATTAATGATCTACCCTCTATAGTAAAAGATCTTAGTTACTCTCTAATGTTATATGCTGACGATATCAAGCTATATAGTTCATTTAACGATGTCGGTTACAGTCACGATCTTGCTGTAGCTATTTGTAAAGTTTATCTCTGGTCAAAAAAATGGCAGTTAAAAGTAACCAATAATAAATGCTTTACTCATAGAGTAGCACCTACTTCATTTCGTAAAGATATAAATTACTATTACTATAAATAACTATTAATTAGGAGATCATAATTTAACCTGGTCTACAAACCCAAAAGATCTTGGTGTAACCATGGATTCTTACCTAAATTACAATAATCATATTTCAAATATCGTCGCCTTAAGCAAGGCATGATTACATGTTAAAATTTCTGAACAAATAAATCAAGTTTCTTTTTATTTAACATATATATTTACACTCGAGGACATAATTTCAAATTACGCAAACTAAAATCTAAACTTGATATCTGTAAATACTCTTTCTGACTCAGGGTTCTTAATATTTGGAATAACTTGCCATCTGACGTTGTGATTGCAAAAATATAAAGAGCTTCAAAATTAAAATTAACTCTATCGACTTTGAAAAATACTGTTCTGGCTAACTAGTTTTTGTTTTATAACTGTGGTCTTATATATAATTGTAATATATATTTTAAATTATCTAGCATATATATTATGTGATTGTAGGGCATGTTGTCAGAGTCCTTCATATTTTATGGACCTTTGACGTGATAACTGTCCTTTAGAACATGTATCACTGTTCTAATAAATTTTAATCTTTTCTGATCTAACTAAAGCATTAGTAAAAGTCAAATATAGCATTATTTGGCTTTTTTAG